GGTTTGGGGATTTCTTGTCCAGACTCCATTAAACCCCAAACATGCATCACATACAATCTCATCCATCTACTGACCCCATTTTCATTAGGGGCCTATTGAACACCCAAACACAGGAATGCCAAAGGCAAAGTAGTCCCCCAAATAGACCCTATGTCTTCATGAAGGTGACATTCCAGTGAGGAGAGAGGATCAATAAGATGAATGAGTGAAATGGGCAATAAACTGTAGAGTGGTAAATGCTGAGAGGAAAATGTGGGAGATGGGCACTATAGAATTTCCAGAATGGGGGTAATTAACTATAAAATTTGAGATCAAGTGTCCAAGAAAAGCCTTGGTGAGGGGTTGACTTTGCGATGATACTAGGCAAAAGGTAAAAAGCAAGTCCTCAAGCTATGCAGAGACGTACCACCAGGAAGAGAGAATGCACACTGAGAAGCTCCAGGGAGTAGCATGACTGTGGGGTCAGGAACACCTGCAGAGAATCCTGCATCAGCAGTAGGAACACAGAAGGAAGCTGGGAGTATGTGAGGGAGGAGAGGATATGGGGTGGAAAAACTGAGGGGGTTTCAAAAGCAGCAAAACATTGCTTGTTATCATGGAATGAGATGAAGACTTCAGAGACATTTCCTTGTATGAACTCAAGAAAGCCATTTGATGATAGCCCGCATAGCCTTAGGACCTGAATAACATCACTGAACAGTAGGATTAAGAAGAAACCTGACCATCCATCAGACAACAAATTGATGTCCACTGAACAATGTCTTTCCTAATTGCCCCTACATCTAACCCTAGACACCCTATTTTGACATTGACTGAAGGATTTCTGAAACAAGTCTGTTTTGGGAGAATGGTGAAATTGCTTCCGTGGTTCTCACTGTCCACCTCTGTGCACTGGAGGTACTGCTCATGGAGACATCATCAGTCATTGCATCTCCAGGAACTTGGATAACACAACTAGAGACAGGCGTGAGACCAGGGATGGCTTGCTGGTTCTACCACCAGAAACTGGATCTGAGTCAGACACTGGAGCTCTCTGGCTCATTGGCTCTCTGGCTCTATCATCTCACAGAGCCTGAGTCACTAGAGAAGAATGTAGAGAAGCATCATTTGTTACCTGGGATTATAAGTCAATGTGACCTTCACAGAGTTTTGCTTAACTTCAGAGTTCAAGTGACTCTTGGGATATGTGGATGAGATTAGAGCTAGATACCTCTTGACTGTGGCTGAGGTTGAAAACAGTGAATCATTTATTCAGCTCTTTGTTCTATCCAAATATGAGAAATAATGTCTACCGTTGTGGTTTTACATCTTTGTCTGGAGCAAAATACATAAAAGGCCGTTAGAAAACACCATAGAACTTGCAGAGTGCAGGTTTACCCTGACAGTTTAAACCTATGTCTGTCTGTCTCATTTGCACATTGAATTAGCATTTTTTAACCTGACATCCTGCTGATGTAGATTCCTTAGTATCTCATGAAAAACCCAGTGTGACCTTCCTCATGCTCTCAGAGAGATGGTATTAAGAGCTGGTGCAGTTTCGGGGGCGGGGGCAGTGATGCCTGGTAGGCAGATCCTTTTCTCACCAGGGACTCTTGGTATGTCTCTGGCATGTGCCTAGGTGACTCTGTATTTGCTTCTGCTACTGTATACTGATTCACACTACAGATCAGTTTATGACAGAGGAATATTGAAGGTAACTTGGTCTACTTTATTCATCACTGCTCCATGTATTTGCCTATCTGCCTATCCAAAGTCACCGGCTGGCATATGGAACTGTGGGGAGCCAGACTGGAGCTTTAGAACTGTGCACTTGTCCAGGAACAGACTTGGCAAGGCCACTCGAACACTGGAGCCAGTACCTTAAAGGAGTTGAGGTCGCAGTTTCAGAGGACTTGAGTGTTCCTCATTGGCTGTGGTTATCAGTCCTAAGGCAGTTGTGTCTGAGGTATCCCTGACTTCGCTCTCTGTTGAACTTAGCTGATTTCCCCCCTACAAATTATGTATAAAGATGCTGTGCCTCTTAAGATACTTGCTTGATATAAGACAAAGTTTATGCAAGATCTCCCAAATCCAGATATTTATCTTCTCTGTCTGTCTTTCTCATCCCCATGCACATCCCCTTTAGGAGGCCATCAATAAGAATGACCTACTGGTACAGGTCATAAAACCTCTGTCTCTATCTCAGTTGTCCATTTGTGGTACTCTGAGCTGAGCTCATGATGCCAGGGCAAGAGTTACAGACAGTATAAGCTGGCCATTGTCACTGGTAATTTCCCCCTGGAAATGGAGATACCCTGATGGCTTTCAGCAGAGTAGGAAATAAGATAGACTTGCTCCTACCACATAGGCACACTCCACAGAGTCACCATCCAGGGACCGGGGCACTGCTCTAGAGAGTCTTATAAGACTCTCTGAATGTGAAAATCTCTGCATAATTGAGTTCATTGAACAGAGACATAACTACCAGAATCTTCAGTCACTGGATGCCATGTCCTGTTCCCCAACCAGATTCTACTGGTTTTCAGCTAAAGGGCTTTCGGCTACGTCAGAACACCCTAAGCCTTCCATATAGTATGCACCCCCAATAGCATCCATGCTGCACATGTCCTCTGACAAACTATGGAAAGAAATTCTTTAGCTCTAAAATGATGTATATCTGTTAAAGGCATGGTCACCCTTTTCTTTGGGATCATTTGAGAAGTTTTAAAGTTTTCTGGATATGAGAACTAGTGGAAGAAATTTATTTAGGTCACCAGGGTGTGTTGTTAAAGGGCATATCAGGACCTCAGTTGCCCTTTTCTCTTCTACCACAAGGTGAACAGCTTTGTTCCATCTCACAACGTCACCACAGTCTCAACATTCAGGAAAGGGGACCATGGACCCACACCTCTGAAACTGTACCATAGTAAAGCTTTTCCTCATTATAGGTTGATTGTTTTAGGCACTTTGTTATAGCACTGGAATGTTGACTCACACAAAGTGTGACTATAATCCCAAAGAGTAATTATAATGTTAATGTATCCAATACACACAAGTTCTGGTAAAAGAATCAAAGGATTTTTATTATTGTTATTTTGTTTATCATTTATACACATCACATGTTACACAAAATGCCAACCAGGAAGCAAATGTAGAAAAATAGTGGAACTTATTGGCACGAATGACTTTGTTATGACTAAGGATTTTGTGTCACAGACAATTTGCAAGGATGTTGAGGAAACTGATTATTGTATATATATATTTTTTTCAGCAGAGTAAATATGAATTAGAAATCACAGTGGCATCAGGCTATACATACAAGTCCTTTCTTTGAGACCATGACAAAATACCTTACCTTTCTTCATCATCTAAAAGTATATAATATTTGCAAAAATAAATAAAAGTTAAAATAAGTAATCTCATAGCCTTATTCTATGCTATCAATGGACAATGGTCCAAGGCAGTTCCCTGCTTAAGCATGCCATGCTTGTGGAAGCCATTATGTGCCTCTTATTTGCTTGCACAGCTATTGCTTATCTGCTAAATGGAAAAAATGTAGAAGCGTTCCTTAGAGTCTTTAGAAAATCCAAAGACTATGCATACATCCAAGTGGTATGCCATTGGACAGGAAGAGCTCCTTGGCAGACTAGATTTTGATACTATTTTGACACCATTCATTTCTCATAACCTCCTACCTTGGCACTGATGAAGGAATGGTGACTGTGCTGAAGGAAACATTGTAATCCTACCTGAGAGGTAGAGTTGACATCACTTTGACATGTCCTGGCCATCAATTGTCTGTATATGGACCCACAAAGGGCACTAAAAGCTCAATATCAGGAGTGTGGTTCAATGTTAGAGTCACAGGATCATATTTTTATTGTTTCCCCTGCACTCTTAGTTCATTCTATCCTGGGCTACTTAAAAGAGCCGTCTTTTCCTTCTACCAGCCAGATTAAAGGAAACATTCTAACCCAACACTTTCTATAACCACCTAGATTTAGCATGGAGCCAAGGAAATGTCAAATAAATGATGCAAGAAATATATTCAAGAGTGAATTATGGGGGAAAATGGGTAAAAGTAAAGTCATAGACTTTTTAGCAAAATATAGAAAATGATTGTGACTACATTAGCTATGATTTTTAGATGCAAAATAATGCAAATATTTACCTTTGCATATGTGCATGTGTATACATATAAACATATAAGCATTCAATGTTAGATGCACCTTATTATTAAATTATTATTTCCTTGGGATATGAAAGATGAGAAAAATTATTTTTCCATGTGCAATAATTTAGCCTTCAGCAAAAAGACATTAAAAAATATCTCTGCAGTTGGGGGTAGTATAAAGAAGTAAGAGTGACATTTACAGATTTCAGCTTCCAAACACCGTTAAATGTAATTCTTTTCCTAGGTGTGTGTCAAAGTTACAAACTTTTCTCAATTCTTAATAATGGCTGATGATATGCCCTGAGTAGAAAAATGATAATCTAATCAATCACACACTGAATTAACTTCCAAATAGGCAGAGTAAAAACACTTGGGAGTCAGTATTTCAACTGATAAAAGCCTAAACCTAAAGTTTCAGACAAGAGACTGTCCCTCAAGGCATCCTGTAAATCACTTTTAGTCACATAGACTGTTTTTTAATTTATTCCTACAAAATTGCCCCCAGTAACCTTTTTGTTACAAAGTATTTCCAGGTTTCCCCCAGATTTCCAAATTCCTGATCTAGCAAATTCTCTATTCCAGCTTTGTTTCTTCTGTCTCTTCCATATCTAAACTGCTTTTTAATAATCATTTTCAAAATCTGTTTCTTAAGTGAGAATGTAGGCTCTTCTCATGATATGAAAATCTATTGTAAGTTATTATCTCATGATGCTATTGCCCGTGAATTCAGAAACACATAGTATCGACATACGAGAGTGCTGAGCTGTCCTTGCATCAATTTTAGTTGCTGTGGCTGAGATAAGAAACTGTAGGGAAAAAAAATGGGCTTTCAAAAACCACACACACACACACACACACACACACACACACACACACACACACCAGCCCCATTCTGTGGCAAACAACGGTTTGAGCCTCAGGTTTTCACAAATAGATTACACACGATGCTTGGCTCAGGGAATGATCTATACATATGGAAGAATTATGATTACAAACATGATGAGAATCTTCAGAGTTAATGAATATGTAGGACCTTAAAAAACAAAGGTAATAGCAAGATATGGTGACTTGGATTTATTCTTCAGAGGAATATCTTCTCCATGGACAGTTGAGTGGTGGATCAAGCCCTTTCCTAAAGGGACTTGCTTTGTGGATGAATACATGTCTGCTAGCCTTGGATGAGAATAGTAGAAAATACAGACATCAGGGTTTCATGAACTATATTGTAGCTAGAAGGAGAAAAGACAACCTGGAGACAGAGAGACGGAGCAATGCAGATGATCTGCTAATAATGGAACACTTCACCTATCCCCCAGCTGCTCTCACTGACAATGGTCTGTGATACCACCTTTGTTGATGAAGACATTTTCCTGCATTATCTAACTTATTGGTTAGGTAGGTGTTTTTCATAGGATATTGGAATCTCACAAGGTTATGTATGACATGGGAGTGATTGGGTTTTGATTTTTTTTTAAATTTCCAATTAAGTAACTACTCTGGGTTAAAATAACCATAGCCAAAAAAAAAGAAGGAAAAAAAGAAAAAAAAAAGAAATTGAAGGGCCAATGTTCAAACCTCAACTCCAGAATAAACAAATACTTGACTTCACCCCTAATATCATGTGTACGTGATATACAAAATACTGCATGACTAACAGCTTGCTGACTGGATTTCAGGTCTTTTTCACAGGGTCTAGTGCTGCAATGCTGGTCAAAAGCCCATGGCCTGAGAGGTCATAAGTGCTAGGATAGAATCTACTCTTATTATTTTGCTAAATGTGTGTTTATACCCATAGGCAGAGGCTGCTCTCAACCCCAGCCAGGGATCTTCTTTTTATAGTGGATGGCAGTCATTGCATCGATGCATAACTGGTCAGAGTGCTGAGAAGAAGAGGCCGAGTGCTAAACCAAAATGGGACATCTATTCCAGTACTCCACCCTGACCAGGCTCAAGGGGCATTGCAGAAGAGCAGAGAGATAAGAATAAAAGAGGTGGGGGATAGGAAAGAATACTGTGAAATGCCCTCTTCTGGATATGACATGGTTATCATGTTTCTGTATTCACACCAACTCTGGTCATTTCCACAAGACCTACACAAGATAAAGGCAGGCAAAACTCCCACATGGACAGGGAAGCCAATCTATGGGCGTCACTCCTTCTCAAAGAGCTACTGGCAGGTGATAGCTTCTGGGGGAAGGGAGAAATCTCCTTTGAAAGAGTGGCTACTCATAGGTGTCTCATGCTCCAGTGAATGGCCACCCATCCAGGCACATACAGGGAGTATTACTAACTGTACTTTTAGTTAGTTTTAAAAGACATGAGGTTAGGAGTGAGAGGGCGGGGAGATGATTTGAGAGAAGTATGAAGGAAGAATTGGGAAGAGGAAGTGTATATGGTCATATTTCATATTTCATTGTATACATGTAAGAAATTCTTAAAGAACTAATCAAGTGAAAATCTATTTCTTTTCCAAGCAGCTATTCTGTGTTTTGTCTTACCCTATCTGATATCATCTTCTCAGGTTTCTCAATGGGAAATGCAGAAGATATGTCTGCTATGTACCTCCAAAGGACAGTTCAGAAATGAGTGGTGGGAAGAGCATGGTCACAGACTTCTCACAAGGCTGGGGGCAGGTGTCAAGGATTCCTAAAACCAGCATAGAAGAGGGGTATTATAACAGACTGGGGCAGGATTGCCACTTGGGCATCTTATTTCCATATAGAGCCCCTTCCCATCAGACACCACAGTGGCAATTTCTTTCTGACATGAGACAAAAAATGGATGTGAGTATAGAATTCTCACACCTCCTTTTGTGGATATTGCTCAGATATTCCCCATCTGCCCTTTAATGTACCATTGTCTCCTCTCCTGCTCTCCTTTTACACACATCTCTCCCCATCCCTTAAGTTCTTTTCTTATTCGGTTCCCTTTGGTAGAGATGACTTCAAACAAACTTCCACCAGACAAACTCTTGATTCAGCCTTCATATCAAGACCTCCACATAAAGTTTCCCCAGGGAGGAATTCCTGAGAGTCTAACCTTTCTGGTGCAGGCTGGAATACTGCCTCTGGGCTCCCATAATACCCCTACAGCATCTGTGAGGCCCATCAATTTCAGTTACCACTTATTTTGCTAAGCCATGAGCTGCTAGAGATACCAATGCATCTTAGCACAGAGAGGCCCTCATACAGATGTATTTAGTGGAACAATGACTTGATGAAAGAAAGCAATGACAGAGGGTGTGTGGAAGAATGGGCTCCACCTTATAGTTTCACTTTGAAGGCTATCTGCTTGTTCTTCTGCAGACAATGCCAACCAGAATTCTACAACACCCTGCTCTAGCCACAGCTCTAGCCCAGTTCGTCCTTGATAAGATCATAATAACAGGTGGGTCCTTCTTGAGTTCTCTACTTCACATGTCTCTGGGGTCCTCTCTGGCACAGACAGAAGCTCAGAAACTCATGGAATTATAGAAATCTATAGGGTGTGTTTTTCCTTCTATCCTTTCCCACGTTCTCAGCACTACACCTGATTTCAGCCTGCCACTGAGGTCATTGACTCCAGACTGGCTTTACATTTCTATCTCCTCCTTTGAGTTTATTTGGCTCATGAACAACAAATTCCAAATAATCTCAATGTTAGTAATGTTTATTTCTAACTAGTTTGGGGAAACTACAAATCATACAAACAAAACCTAAAAATAGAACTGAGGATGGAAACATACTGGCTCGTTACCTTGGCAGGCATTTTGTTTATCATATTTATAACCAATAATATAATGTCCATGTTTACATTATACATATATATTATGTATATTGATATATATTATATATATACTTTAATAGAAAGAGACATAAAAAAGCCTTTTCAAATGAGGCATGACAATTAATACTTGACATTCTTATTTATAATACATGAGTACACTTTCTACATGATGATGGTGGATTCTCAGATGCCAGTTAGGTTTTACAAAGACAGCAGGAAACCTAAAAGAGGTATTCCATGCAGCCGAACGGTTATTGCCATTAGTTCTCACTAGTCCAGACAGCATATTGAAGTTAAAAACGGCATCTGATTATTGGTAAAGACGATGATCATCAGACTCATCTTGGCTCCGTAAGTACTACATAGTCTTTCAAATGACCAGGGTTGACAAATGCTACTGATGAGGATTGAAACAAAACAGAAAATGAGCATATCAGACCAGATGGGCAGGGCTCTGCACATATCTAGAAAGGAGAACTTGCTACAGAATAACCATGTTGCATTAAGCAACAGCATCTGTCTGAGTCAGAAGATCCTGGGTTACATGACTAGGAAAAAAAAAAAAAGTGTTCTCCAAGAAATGAAACCAACATGTCAGTGCCACTGAGCAAAGAGAGTCCGTGTCAAGCCCTGACTCGGGAACTCAGGAAAATGCCCAATGAGAACTGCATGCATTAAAACTAGGTTATTAAGAAATTCAGAAAAGACCCATAGAGAAGTCCTGAACCCACTGTAGGAGGTCTACCTTTGCAAAGCCTTCAGCTCCCCTCCTAGACCACCCATATGTTTACTCTCCTGCAAACTAACAGTTTGAACTCATTTCCCATGGTCTGAATTTATTCATTGCATGCACCCAGAATCCCATGGATTTCTTCCCATGGGATCAGTGATCTGGAAACCCAGTTCAGTTGCCCAGAGCAGGCAGATTTCCATACTGTGCAGGGTCCTTCTGCAAATAAATGGGGGACTTTGTCTTCAGTGTGATCATCCATGCTGCCCTGGTTCATGCACTTCTTCTGTACAGCTAAATGTTCATCCTTTCTGACTTTAGCATACATAATGCACTTAGATGGGGACAGTTTTAAATATCCTGGTTATTTTCAAAACTTCTGCATCAGTCACTTACCAACAACACTTGAAGTTGGGTCTTCAATCTGGCTTTTGTTCTCCAGTCTAATCTCACTTTTGCCTCTCCTATCTGTTAGTTTTTACAAATGTGGTCTTTCCTAGCCCTTTATTTTCCTAAGGCAAGAAGACATCACTATTGAAAGATAACAGCACCCTTCTTAGAGCTCCCCTGAGGTTCTTTACCCAGCATGCCTCCCTTGGGATGTCTTTCTCCTTCCAGGAAGAAGAGAAACAGCTGGCCATGTTAATGGTTTTGAAATGTTGCTCTTGCTGTCAAGGCCAAACCAGCATTTCTTTGGAAGTGCTTCAGCAGGAGTTTCACACATGAATACATTCATCCCACTATCTCCTTCTGCCAGGTAGAGTCTCTCTCGGTCTTCCCTACTTCAGACAGGACTTCGGGCATTCACAAAAACAATTTGTGGACCAGGCTATGCATAGAAAAAGTTTAAGGAAGTAGGTGAAACAATTGGTTCAATATGCTCCCTACAGCTGTTTCTGTTTACACCAAATCTGTTTTTACTAGCAGTATCATCTTTATCTCCCTCTTCCTTAAGTCACCCTACCTACTGCTGCTAGAAAATAACATGTGGACTTGCCACACTTTCCCTTGTCCTTTAGAAAACATGGAGAAGATAAGAGCATGTATAGAACAAGTTTTTGAACAAGTGGTATGTTGGATCTATTAAGGGTTCTATTTACAGGAAGATACCCCACTTCCACACAGAAGTTAACCTGAGTTCTGAAATGTTTGTGTGCACTTAATTGAATCAACACATGATAAAGCTATGACCTAGTAACAGACTGGGGAAATATAGTTAAGTTGGATCAATTCCCATGAGCCAGGGTGGTTATAAAGCTGGGCTCATCAATGGCAAGTGTTCTGTTTCTTATTTTCTCAGATTATCCTTAGAAACATCTTGAATGAGACTCTAGGTAGCTTGACAAATTCAAGAAAACATTGTTGTCTTTTACACTGTTTGTTCAGCTTCCCCAATGTCTCGATTACAAATTTCTCTAGTGTCCAGTCCCACCCCAGCTTCATCCCTCCACACCCTCCATCTCCTTCTATTCCACTCTGGAATTCAGAGGTATGGAAAAGCATGACGTAGCTAAGAACTGAACTGATCTTAAACAGCTCTGGCCAGTCACCCAGGCTGCTCCCTGGAGGCCACTACTTGAAATAGTTGAGTCCTGCCACCAAGAAAAACTTCTCAAGGAAGAGTTCCGAGTCCAGCACAGCTATATGAGCTGCACGGCCAATCAGAGTGTTGGCAGTGTTGGGCAGAGCATGGAACACATTATGTCTGATCAAAGTGCAGCCCTTAGCTTCCACCAGGGGGCCCAGGAGGTTGTTGATCATTTCTGCATACACTGGCCCTGGAAGGAGGGAAGAAAGAAAGGAAATGAGTACAATTCCACAGTACAGTCTAAAGAACAGCTTTGCATGTGTGTTGGCAGAGCACATAATGGACTAAGTTCAAGCCTTATGCTACTGGGTGCAAATAAATGAGGAATGGAATCCAATTTCTCTATAGAGATCGCAATTGATAGGGTTATCATTCTTTCCTTCAGATAACTTAGTGACCTGGTGTCAGAAGTCAAAGCCAAGTGAGGGAGATTCCTAGAGGAGTACTATCTCTCAGCATGGGAGCAAGAGAAAGAAGACTCAAGTACAAGTCCTCAGAGATTCAATTTCTGCTTCAGAACACCAAGGGGACTGGATGCATATGTAAATCAGTCATGAAAGATGACACTTCCTAATGTCAAATTTTAAGGTCAAACAGCATTTCACGATCCCCTGGTTCTGTTGGAAAGGGAGGGGGTAATGCAGGATTGTTGCTGTTAAGTTGCTTTATTTTTATAATTAAAAGACTCAGTTGACTGTGTTTCTAAAAAGTGACTCAGTTTCAGATTGGCTTTGGATAGTAGGGCATAAAGACATGCAGTAACAGAGATCATTGAGCAATGAACAGTGTGCACACATCAGAGTCTGCAGTCTGCATCTCATCCATCTGCTTTATTCCTGCAGCATCTTCATGGCAAATTTTATGCTCTATTGGGACACCTGCTGGAATGATACTGAGGGCCAAGGTGGGCTTCTGACAGTTCAGAAGGTAGAAACCACAAGCTATTACATAAGCCTCCAGGTGTCCATTCCAACTAAGACTTGTATAATCAAGCCAGTATGGTACTCTGAATTTCCACAGAGAGGGGCAACTCTATCGAATGTTCCAGTCAACTATAGATATTACTCCATTGCACATGAACAACCTCACACTGCTTTCCCCTCTCCTCAACTAATCATTGTGCACACCAACAGGGCTGTTTCCCCGCTGGGAGGGTACTGAACTGCACCACATGCTGAGAACACTGCTTCTAGCCTCTTATTCTCCTCTTTCAAGGTCTTGATAGTTCTGAGGCTGAGGAAGCTAAAATGCCAACTGAAATAATCTTGGATTTCTTTGTGGAAATAGCTGTCCTAATCTTACCAATTTGTCTGGGGGAAAAATGGCTTGTGGTTGGAATAAAAGAAATTCTACTTCCAAAGAGTCCATATGAATAGCAGCCAATACATGTCATAAAATCATATGCACAAAGTATTGCTATTAGAGAGAAAACTGAAGTCAATCAAAAGTCAGTATAATAGAACCAGATGATGGGGAAGAGGTGGGAAAAGATGGACTCTAGATGTGGTATAGCTGCTGCATTCATGAACTCACAGAAGCTGTTGTGACCTGTACAATATCAAGCCAGTTAAAAATTCTAGCATGGAGGGAGAAAGGGGCTCAGGAGGCCCCACCCATATGAGAAGCTATTGGCACCTGATGGTTCTCAGTAGGTGACTCTAGCTGGTCACCACATATCCATGTGTATATGAGCAATGGTAATTGAACTTAGTGGGTTATTTTTTAAAAAGAAAAAAAGACATGAAATTGGATGGGAAATGTGTTGGGGAGTGCTGGGGGGAGGAGTTGGAGGGAGGGAATGGGGGTGGATATGAGCAAGATACATTATATATATGTATGAGCAACAATAAAACACTTTTTTAAAGGAATGGCTGGTAGGTTAGTAGGTAAACCATGCTTGCTGGTCTGGTCAGAAGAGTCCCTGGTTCTTTTACAGATGCTTTTAACAACAAGGATTATACCTGCATGTTGTGACATAATGGAAATAGAAGCGGAGTAATGTTCTATCAATATTATAATCTGTTTATATCATATAGGCAACAGGGCCCATTAAGTCACTCATAAAATAGACAAAGTTACTCAAAATGTAGTGATTCCTCCAGCAATCATTTTCTGCTGAGACACATTGTTGCCTTTAACCCAGAGGTGGTCTTTGGAATTATTTTTAAATATACAAAGCACATCCTTAATTATTTTTCTCAAATAAAGCACTGCTTTCATGTTGGTTGACTTCCAGGGTAGGAACAAATTGTCTGCATGACAATTTGGTGACAAAATGAAGAAGTGACTGCTATGGATGACTGATTGATAAATAAAATGCCGATTGGCCAATAGCCTGGCAGGAAGTATAGGCAGGACAAAGAGGGAGGAGAATTCTGAAAAGTGGAAGGCTGAGGCAGAGACATGCTGCCAGCTGCTGATGAGGAGCAGGATGTAAAGTACCGGTAAGCCATGAGCCACATGGCAAGATATAGATTAATAGAACTGGGTTAATTTAAGATATAAGAACTAGATAGCAAGAAGCCTGAGCCATTAGGCCAAACAGTTTAAATAATATAAGCATCTGTGTGTTTATTTTATAAGTGGGCTGCAGGACTACCAGGGTTTGGCAGGACCTGGAGAGAAACTCTCCAGCTATAAATGACAAACAGACAGGGGAGGTCAGGAGATTTATCATAGAAATTTTAGGAAGTAGGATTTTCAGCAATACTTAATGAAAACAAAACTAACGAAATGAACAAGATCTTCCCACATCGATAAATCTATGAATTAAGGTAAATGTCATTGACAATTCATTCAAAAATGTAACATAAGCATGACTATAGGAAAAGAGGGGGCTGTATCTCTCCCTATCACTGGAAGCATTTAAATTGTGGATGGATATTCTTTAAAAAAGAGGAGCAGCAAGTAAATGTCTCTAAAATGGAACAGAGTGGTATAAAAGGTGTATTCTTGGCAATAACTTTTGGCTAGCGTTTAACAAAATCTCAGACGCTTGCAGAATGAATCATTCCAAATCCAGGGGGAACCATCCTCTGCAGACCTTACTGAGTACCCAACCTATGCCTTTCTCTTTTCCTCTATGAATGTGGAATTACTTCTTTCACAGTTAAGAGGAAATGCAATGTGTAAAGGGCATAGAACTGTCCCTGACACAGGAAGACCACAGTGCCTGGCACTTCCATTTTAACACAGGGTAGCCATAACTTGTTGGCACATGCCAAGGCTCACGAGACATCATATAGGAGTGTCACTAACACGTGGCTCAAATCTGGCACTGAAACATGCAGTGTAAGCAAATGGGTGTGACTGTGGGTTATATTTAGCAAACAGGGCATAAATTTGAGGGGCTCTGCATGAAGCATTTACAAAGCTCAAGTGTCACCAGAACTACATGAGGTCAAGGAGATGAGACATTAAGCAAAGAAGGCTAGTGAACAACCACAGAAGGAAAAGGCATGGCAGCCTTAACAGTGGCATGGTCTTCTGGCAGTGATGTGTTCTGATCAAGTCTGAACTTAAAACCAGATCACTGACTCTTTTACAAGAGTCTTAGGGTAGAGTAGTATGCTCTGGGCATTAAGAAGTCTAAAAATCAACCATCAAAAAGCATCAAATCAAGTTTGGGTTGAAAATAACTAATAAGTGTCTTTAAATTAGTATCTCAGAAACAGAAGTAAGATTGCTTCTAGGGCACTCTGGTACAACAGAATAGATGGAATAATTATTTCAAAAGATAGTTTGGCTTAAATTAATTAATGTGTTTGCTTGGGTAGCACTACACAAACAGAAAGGCTTCTACTGCAATAATATTTTATGTTTCTAAATGAGAAGGACCATATAGGTTCAGTAAATTGTAAATTTTTATTTAAGTTGTAATATTTCCATAAAATAAGCAGAATTTTAAAAATGATGTATGTCTATATGATAATTTAAACATGGGGAATTGAGTATAACATTGTGCTAAACAAATCATGACTAAAAATTGTAGCATGGTGTGTGTGTGTGTGTGTATGTATTTGTACATTGCTGAATATGTGTGAAAATGGGTGAGTGGAGCAAAAGGTCACCCATCCATCATCAGGTGACTTACTGTATCGCTCTCTGCTTTATTGTTTTAGACAGGGTCTCTCACCTAACCTGGGGCTCACCACTTGGCTAAGCTAAATGACCAGTGAGCCCCAGGACCATTCTTCTCAGCACTGGGATTACAGACATACAAAGTCATGCCCAGCCTTTTAATACTTAGGATCCAAACTCATGTATTCAAGCTTGTACAATAAGCACTTGATCTAATGAGCCATCATCAAAGCCCTTATGGCTTACAAATCTACCACTTTTAAGTTGGCACATTCATACAAAGAGACTAGAAGAGAATGATGAGGGGGGAAATGGGAGTAGCAGAAGAATTAACGTAATTGGATAAAATAGGTTTGACTTTTCTCTATGAATGAATACTCTATTATTTCAGATCTCTGTGTGAGTGTATGTGTCTGTGTATGTGTGTCTGTGTCTCTCTGTGTGTATGTGTCTATTTGTCTGTGTCTGTGTGTGTCTGTGCATGCGTGCTTCTCTGTGTGTGTCTGTGTCCGAATGTGTGTGGGGGTGTTCACACTCTCATGTGTGTGTGAGTGCATCTGTGAATGACATGTGTATTTAAGTGCTTTGAGATTGCAGAAAAGGATTCCCTAGAGCTAGAATTACAGGTGGCTGAGAGCTATCTGATATGGGTACTGGGATAGAACTCAGGTCCTCTGCAAGAGCAGCATATGCTCCTAATCACTGAACTATCTCTCCAATCCTTTTTGGAAGAGATTTATTTTTAATAGTTTTCCATTTTAAAGAGTAATTTTTCTGGCCATGTGTGGTGGCAGAAGCAGGAGGATCTCTGTGAATTTAAGGCTAGCCTGATCTATGCAATGAGTTCAGGCCAGACAGGGCCTCATACTGAGACTTTATCAAAAACAAACAAACAAACAAGCAAACAAATTAAAAAAAATAAGTAATTTTTGTGACATGCCTTAGGTTGCTTTCCAGAACACATACTAGACTGTAAAAACCACAGTGCTATTTTCTGTATTTAAATAATTAAGGTATTTTTTTCACCCAAGTTTCTGTTAGGTTTTCCTTGATTTCAATAGAAATTTTGAATGTTTGCATATGAGTACCTAGTTTGGGGACCTTTGATAGACTCGTAAAAAATCAGAATATAAAAAAGTCAGAATATAACAAAAAGCACTTACTTTTGAAACAGTAAAAAATATTTGTAGATATAAACTAATCAACCAAGGGAACAAGGAATGCTAGCCCATCTCCTGGTCCTGGTTGCCTAGAAAACTCCGGACACACTAATCAGTTGACTTTTCTATGGAACCCCAGTAGTCTCCACTCTCTCTCATTTCCCACCGGTAAAAATTGAATGTGTTACACACTACTTCCTCTCTTTATCCATTGTACTTTGCTCTCAACACCTTTGCTTCTCTGGTGCTCTAACTAGACAATAAAGTCCTTCGAGGGCAGAGTCCATCTCCCATGTCTGTATCTATCCTTCTCTTTTCCACGAACAACACACAAACGGAGCTCACCAGTTTTCCTGGCATCTGACAAGCAAATGGCTGTTCACATCACATGAATGAAATACCCAGACTGTTAACAGGAATGTGTGTACACCCAGACAGTGTGCGTAGCCCACGATTCCATTCTAGACTCAGCGCAGCGGTACAGGCTACCTGGAGTCTGAGCCCAGCTGTTATCAACAAATATTCTCAAGATTTCATAAATTTACTTTCACTTTGAAAATTAGAAAGTCCCTGTCAAAAGGAAATGTAGCTTACCTGTGTGTCTGTCTTTGAGGGCCGTTTTACACATTTCGATCCTGGCTGAATGAAATGGCACGTAGCGGTCTTGGGGAGAAGCAACCAGAACAACGTTTTTAAAATACTGCAGCCCTGTAACAAGAAGGCAGGTGAATACTTTCTATCGAGGTCCTTTACTCTGACACGCGCTCTTGGTTGTACACAGTTTGAAGTCTTCCCCAGAAAGTGGCAGTGAGGAGACACCAGACACTGTGCTGTACCCCTGGACAGAGAGCTAATGTTCTGAGTGTCACCACATACGGCTCAGGAGGAGGCAGAGCAGGCACCTGTGAGAAGTTGAGCAAGGAACTCGGTATGTTAAAGCTTTTTTTGTGGTTTTGGACATAAAAGTCCTTGACCCCAGGAGTATAGAAGCCATGGAGACTCACTGTGAGCACTGAGGAAAATGCAAAAAGGTATCTAGCTATGAGAACAAAACATGTCTCTGTGAGGCAGGAAACTAGGGAGCCCATAGGGAAGATGGTTTTCTCTTTCTCATTCTTCCTGGATCTTTAATCCTAAGCCTCTCCTGCTCTGTCACCTGAAGTAGGAAAGCCTTTTGCCTCGCCTCCTCCAGCCTCGCCTCCACCAAGCTTGCCTCCTCCAGCCTCACCCAGCTCCAGCATTGCCTTCCTGCATTGTTCCCCACAGGGAGAATGGAATATCTTCCAACCCAAAAGTCAGCACAGCACTCATCATGGACATCTGGGAACAGTGCACAGCACACTGCACTCAACCCTCACCTCAAGATGGAGCTCTTCTTCTTCTCCTATCTATAGCCAAACAAGATGCTGGCTGACTGCCCTTGCTCACCCTCTCTGTAGGCCCTCACATCCATATCCAAGATCACAGCTGAGCATCACACACTGGAGCAGCACCCAGGGCAATGGCTGGCTGATATGGGCACAGGATGGACAAAGGTGACCCCAAAATCTGCTTCAGTACAGAACTGTAACAGCACTCCAGCTCTTGACCACTCCACAGCTGAAACAAGCTTTGACTTCTGTGTTGAACTCATTGCAATTCAGCATCTTCGTATGCCCAATCCCACCTCTCTTTCTCCCCACAATATGTAACTGAATAATCCTCTAGGGGTGGGGGAGACACAAGTACAAAAGGAATAGTGTGAGCTTGTAAATGAACTGAATACAGGGTATCAACAAGTGCTCCCTTCCTGGACATAGACAACTGGTCCATTATTGACACTTTCCTCTGCCATAGTCTCTATGAACTGGGCTGGGTTTTCACACTGCTCTTTATATCATCACCACAGGGTGAGGGAAAATATAAAAGGAAGCTCATGTGGGAACACAGACAATGCTCTACTCACTCTTTTTCAGGATGGGTCTACACCAAGTGAAGAGGATCTATACATACAAGGTGAGGGCAGGATACAGTCCTGGACCTGCCAATACAGTGCACTACATGATTGACCGGAAGTAGAAGCCAAAGCTTCTGTGTACTATATTGAACCTACACACACCATGGCTGCTATGCTACACAGGGGACAGGCTGAGACCGGCTGACATGCTGGGTAACTTTTGGCTTCTCAGCATGTTGAAGAGATGCTGCTGGAAGTCTCAGCATACCTCATAGAAGCAAATGAACACAGTATCAAAGTGAATCTGCTTAAAATCTCAACCTCAGATGCCTAGCAAGCCACACACCTGTTTTTTGGCTAAGTTGATAAAGGAAACATTTGCGCAAATCAGCGTTATCCCTGAAGGTCAGCTGCAAAAGGGAGCCAGATTTCTTCAGTTTCTGCATGAGCCACAAGCCTAGGAAGAGAAAAGGAAAAGGAAGATTAAAAAAGAAAAGCGAAACAAAGCCAAAGAAGGTATTTTCGGTGCATGCATATATGCAGATAGAGCACTGATACATAAAATATATTAAAAGAAAGAGAGC